GCTGGGTGGGTGGGAGCATCTGAGGGTGGCCTGCATCCCGTCAGATGATCGGTCCAGCTGCTCGTTCAGTGACTTGCTTGCAGCACCTGAGAACCAACTCCTCTCCTTTTAGCTCTATCCCTACGAAGCTCTGAATTTCACTGCTGAAAACGTTTGGAAGTGGGCCCTGGAGAACCGGGAGACCTTCCTCCACTGGCTGAGACCCCATGGGGGGAAGAGCCTCCTGCTGTACAACGAGCTGAAGAAGGGGCCAGCCCTTTTCCTCTTCTTGCCCTTCAACCCCTTGGCTGAGAGCCACCCCCTCCTGGATGAGGTGAGTGAGAAGGACGGCCTGGCAGTGCCCACAGGCCACTGGTTGTGCTGGACTGGCCCTTGGTGGCACAGCTGCCCCTCCTTGGTTGTGTGCTGGCCCCAAGCGGTGTCATCCTTGGAGAATCTGCAGTTCAGAAATGTGGAGTCCAAGCCATTTTTTGGCCAGGCATCCCAGAACAAGCCCAAGGGAGGAGCAGAGGCCTGGGATGGCTGCTGTTCAGCCTAGCTGGCTCTGGAATTCTGGGCCAGGAAGAAGCCACCTCTGCAACAGCCATCTGGCCCTCGTGCTCCCAGGGCTGCGTCTGCGGCTGTGGGGTTCCCCGATAGGAGCAGAGACATGGCTTCCTCTTCTGTTGTCTAGATCTCCCAACTGGCCTTGGAGTACAAGAGCTGCAAGCTGCAGGGAGGGGGCCCCTCGGTGGCTGCCGGCCTCCACCTCCCCACAGCTGAAAGCGCCTCCAGCCCCCCTTGCTGCAACACGGTGTTGCTGCCCGCCCAGTGGCATGGCCTCTCCCAGACCCACAACGTCTGTGAGCTGTGCGTCAACCAGACGGGTGGGGTGCAGCCCAGCCCTCTGCTGCGCTTACACTGCAGCTTCATGGCCATCAAGGCAGCCGTGGACTCCTTCTACCTCAAGGAACGGACCTTCTTCCACGTCGTGTCCAAGACCGTTTCCTGGTGCAGCGACTTCCTCAGCTTCTACAGCCCTTTCAGCTCCTACACTGCTTGCTGCAGGACAGTGAACAGGGACCTGCTGGACTTGGTCAGGGCCGAAGGGGCCTCTTTCCACCTGCTGGAAGTCTCCTTTGCTCCCCACGGACAGAGCCAGAAGGAGGACGCCTCCGAGCCTCTCATTGAGGAGCAGGCTGGCCTCTCTGGCTCTGCCGTGGCCGGTCTCAGCTGCAGGACCAACAAGACCCTCAACCTCTACCTGCTGGACTCCAACCTCTTCTGGATGTACGCGGAGAGACTGGGGGCAGCTGGTTCTTCCCCGGCGAAGGAGTTCGCTGCCATCGTGGACCTCAAGGCAGAGGTGCATTACGTCCTGGGCCAGAAACGGGCCCTCTTGAGAGCCAGCCTTGGTACGGCCTGCTGCTGCCCCTCCAGGGGCTTCCTCTTCACTGCAGGGGTGGGAGGAGGACGGCAGCCGAGAAATTTTGCCCAGGAAGTGCAGCATTTTCTCTTCAGCGTTTTCTCCCCTTTCCCGCAAACCTTTTATGTCGTGCTTGATCCCAAGGAGATTCAGAGCAGATCTTGCTTCGCTGACCCGCCGGGAGGACTGGGACATCCCACTCATCTCCTGCCTCTTCCTTGCAGAAACCTTCATCCGAAACTACACGGTCCTGTACAGCCCCTTGAAAAGGCATCTAGTCGGTGACCCTAGGCCCAGCCAGGCCCACCTGCAGCAGCACCTGGTTCAGGAAATCACCACCAGCACTTTCCATGAGCTGATACTGAGGAGCCCGAAGGTGATGCTGGCGCAGTGCCCAGAGCTCCTTCTGGGGGCTGCTTTGCATCCCAGATCTTTTGGGCAACACCCCCCCCACCACCAGAGGTTGGGGAAGGCTGCCAGAACGGTTCCAGTTCAGGGAAGAGTTTGGCCAAAGCACTTGGGAGGGGCTGTCCCTGAGGCGGTCTCCGCTCTCCCATGAAAGGAGGGGCTTCCTCCCCAGGTTGGGGATGACTTTCAGCAAATGGGAACACGGGTCTCCTTCAACTGCTGCCTGGGTCACCTCCTGACCTGCCTCCCCTCCTCCCCCCAGGCTATCCTGCTGCTCTATTACGCCCCCTGGTGCGGCTTCTGTGCGTCTCTCAGCCACATCTTCATCCAGCTGGCTCGGATTCTGCCCCCACCACGCTTCATGGTGGCCAGGTAGGCAGACGTCGTCTTTGGGCTCCTGGAATCCGAGGGGATCATTTCCTGGTGCCAAAGAGGGAGCATAGGCTACCTCACCCCTTCTGCCTTGGGGGTCTCAGTGCCATTTTGGGGGAGCTGGAACCTCTGAGAGGGCCAGTGGGTCTGGGCGCCTGCCTGACTTTTCTGTCTACAGCCGGGACCCCTCCTGCCTATTCCTGGCCAAGTCCCCGCTAGGAAAATGACGAAAACTGGGGCACAAAGGATCTCCCTCTGAGAAGTCTCCTGCGGCCCCTCCGTCCCCTTTCCTCTCATGCCCTTCTACAGAGAGAAGGGGGAGGGCCATCAGGTGTGACCCCCTAATTGGCAGGTGCCCTGCGGGGCTCAATGGCCAGAGAAGAGGTGCTCTTTAAAGGTTGTTTCTCCTATTGCGTTGCTTATTTTTGCCAGGTGTGATTTGCATACTGCAGAAAAAATCCCAATTGTTTAAATCCAAATGAAGCCATTTTGCTGTTTTTGTCTGTCAGAGATTTTGAGCAGAGCTTGCTGATGCTTGACTTAGCTGCACCGGTTCTGCCCAAAGGTTTGCACCCCAGGCCAGTTGCTGTTCCCTGGAAACTAGGGTCTCTTTGGGACACCTCTCTGCCGAAGCCTGCATACTTCTCTGTTTTAACAGGATTGACGTTTCTCAGAATGATCTCCCCTGGGAATTCATGACGGACCACCTACCCAACATCCTGTTTTTTCCTCATGATCGGCAAGTAGCACATTTTGCATCGGGATTGTGAGGTTTTCATAACATATATGTATAATGTAGGAAGGAAACTTAATTGCAATAATACTATGTTAGATTGAGTAAAAGCCTTGATTATCAGGGAAAAAAATGTATTGCAATTATACAAGCAGATAACTGAAGCTAAAATAGCAAGCAGATTCCCAGGCTCTTGAAAATTCATGGAAACACTGCAGTTCACAACCTAGTCTTGTAAATTACTAGCATAAAATACTGCTTTTTTCAGAAAGCAGAATTTCAATGCAACAAGAAACCAATTTGTATCTGAAAGGGCTGCCTGCTTAAAAGCAGTAATTTTGTTGTCGTTGCCTCTGAATTAATTCCTGGTAACTGCCTGGATGAGCAGTTTTCTTGGCAAGGCTGACCATTGCCTGCTTCCTAGGGTTGAGAGAGGGACTGGCCCAAGTCACCTAGCTTGGAAGAATTAGAACTCGTTTCCAGCCTGGTGTCTTAACCAAACTGGTTGCCAAAGCCACATGGCCTGTCTGGGTAACCGAGCCTCTCCTTCGTCCCTGGGATACCCCACAGGCCTGGTGTCATAGGCGCCATAGAAGGTCGGCCAAAGCTCAGTTCTCCAGCCAGGTGAAGCAGCGATTAAGTGGATGAGCAGGTTGCTCGAGGCGAAACCCAAAGTGCGGATTTCCTGCTCAGTGTCTTCCCACCCTGGGCTTCATGATTAAACAGTGGCATTTTAAGGGGTGGGCTGCAGAAAGCAAAGGAGAACAAATGCCACTCACCTGGAATTTCACCTGTTGCAAAGTTGTAAGGAGCGCTGGCCCAGCCAGATTGTGGCTTGGACCTGCAAATTGGAGGGATCCAGGACTTGCCAGCTGGGATCTTGGCCCGATGTTGGGCAGGATGAATAAACAGCTGCTGCTCTGCTGGTTTTCTCAGGATTTCACAGCTGCTGCTGCCGCCGCTACCCAGAGCCAGCATTTCCTGCCCTTCTGCTCCTGGAATAGAAACTGGCAGAGCAGCTCCCTCCTTCCCTCCCTCCCATCTTCAAATCCTCGGGTGCATTCTTGGGAGTCTTGCAATGGCCTCTGAGATCAGCACCAGAAGCCAGACTCACCCCAAGCCGGGGATCCCCTCCGCACTGCCCTCCTAGCTTAACGCAATCAAAACCAAGGGAAAGGCTTCCTGGGAGGGACGTGCCAAGGAGGGTTGGGCCCTTTTCTCAGTCCAGGCAAAGGGGTCATCTCATCAGCAGGAGGTTGTCCAGAAGAGATTGGACAACCATTTGTCTGAAAGGGTATATAGGGTTTCCTGCTTGATTGTGGGGTTGCACTAGAAGGCCTCCAAAGTCCCCTCCGACTCACTCTGTTATTCCACCGATGACCCTTTGTGCCAGCAAGGCTGACCCTTCTCCTTGCTCTCCTAGGAAGGACCAGACTTCCAAGTTCCCCACGACCTCTCCGATTAGTGTGCCCAACCTCCTGAAATTCATCCTCCGCCACTCCAGCCCTACCTTCCTGGCTGCGGGTTGGGGGCCCGGACTCTGGCAAGAGACCGACCTCCAGCAGGCACGCATCGCCCATCTGGAAAAGGAGATCGAGCTGCTGAAGGCAGAGATCCAGGCCCTCCACCAGGCCCAGGGGCAGCTGCAGGGTCAGCTGTCCGAAACCCGGAGCGAGAGCCAGCGGCTGCAGCGAGAAACCCACGCCCTGAAGCAGCAGCAGAGCCACCGGGAGCAGCTGCAGGGGCTGTGCAGCCAGAGGACCTGGCAGCTGGAAGACCTGGCTGAGAAGCTGCGGAAGCTGGCCGAGGCCTCAGAGACCCTCCTGACTGAGAATGCCTTCCTGAAAGTCCTGCTCACCATTGCAGAGAAGCATCGGGCAGCAGAATTGGGCCCGGAACACAGCTTCCCCCCCGAGGACACCGCACACCTCCCCCCCCCTGGGCAGGACCACTTTTCCCAGGTGGAAAAGGAGGGGGCTGGCCCGTTGGACTCCAGGGTCCCCGCAGAGCACAGCAAGGAGAATTGGACAGAGTAGCTCTGCTGAGCCTGGAATAACAAGCAAGTCAAATCTGGAGCAGAGAGACCTTTATGCAAACTTTATTGAAAGCCTCCCTTCTTTTGCTGGACTAGAAAAATGAGAGTATTTTTTTAATGAGACGTGGACCCAGAGTGACAGGTCTTGGGGTCTGCGAAATTGTCAAATTGCAGGGATTGTTCTTTGCACTTTAAAATTGCACTAATTTGTTAGCTTTTGTATCAATTTAACCTAAATTAAACAATTTGGAGGGTGGCCACCTAGGGCTTCTCTTTTCCCACCCACAAACAAGGCAAGATTACTCCATAAGTGATTTTTCCTTCTTCGGCTCAAAATTGGTGTCAGATTTACACAAAATGTTCAAGCTGGTTACCTTCAGGATTTCTGTTTAGAGAATTTCCAGGAGTGTTAATTACACAGTTAAGGAGTGGGGAGATCAAGGGCTTCCATCCCACGTGTCCCCCTTCTCTGTGCCTGGCACAGCTGCTCTGCCTGTTCTGGCTGAGGAGGCCTCTGACTTGCTCTGGGAGAATGAAATAGGTGGGGGGGGGGTTGGTAAGAGGCTGTCAGTGGCAAGCAATACTTAGGCAGCTGGGGGTAACAGGATGGGGTCACCAAAATGCTGGCCATGAACAAAGGGGGAGCTACAGGCAAAGGCTGTGCAAGATCCCCCCCCGGGGGGTCTCTCCAACTTTTTTATTTACTCATTTTGGCAGCTGGTCAGAGGGGCTGAAGTGGGGCATTCGAAGTTTCTTCCCCTTGCAGTGCGTTGCTTAGGCCAAAGAGAGAAAAGAAGGGGGTCCTTGTTCTGTAAAGCACCAGGGTCTCCCTTTGGCCATAAAAGCACAAGTGGAAATGAGCGAAAGGTTGAAGATGCTGGGAGGAGGGAAGTGCTCTCCCCAGGGTGCTTGGCTGGGTATTCCCAGAACTCCCTTGAAGAGGATGGGTTTAGCTACAAAAATACACTCATTGGGGACAAGTGCTAAGCTCCCCCCCCCCAACAGAGAGTAGAACTCAGTGCATCCACAGGCAAGGGAGGGGCTAGTTACACAAAGGCCTTTCTACCCTATTGCTGCAAACACTCCAGTACCAGCCTCCCAGCAGCCCTCTGACTGCACCCCAAAAGGAAAGCGGTCATCACTGGCTACGGGGGCGGCTGTTCCCCCAAGAACACCACCTTCACCTCAGGGAGAGTAGGCTCCCATCATTTGATTATAATTCCCATCATTCCCAGGCAGCATTAGCAGGTCCTCGTGGAAGTAGGTCCCGTCTGCACGTTTGGGCCCCTTTTAAAGCACACGAACGAAAGCTTTGCAGCCGCAGCTGCCAATACAAGCATTGATCCTCTGTGCTAGAACACAAGACACAAGTCCAACATCCCCCCCCCCCGTTGGTTTTGGAGAAATCCCTGTAGGGGTCATGCAGCATTGCCTAAATCTAAGCATGACTCACGCCCAGCGTGTCGCTTCTTCCCAGTTCCTGGAAAGGCGACACCAGCTTCCTCACGCACTCCGCAGCTGCTCACATTCTGTCAGGGCTCAGTGGGCAATTTAAGTAGCAGGTCAAGTGGGACTCACGCCGCGTCCCCACCTGTGCATTGCCGGCCTTGTGCATGTCCTGGAGCAAGGAGGGTCGTCTTCCTCGCGCATGTGTGGCTGCGAGTAGCCAAGCGTTCGGCACAGTGGTGGGTGCAGCCCTGCGTGCTCCTTCACAGTACCGTGGGATTTGCAGCCTGTGGAAATCCCGTTAGCCGTGTGCCTTGGGACCACCGGGACTCAGCTTGGCCTTACTCTCTGTGCAAGGTCCCCGTGCAGAATACTGGACCAGGAGGAAGGGCTCCTTGGTTTCGCCTTCACCCACGATGCTCTCCTCGTCCTCTGACTGGCTGATCCGCTGGAGGCGCAGGTAGCACCAGCAGCCCAGAATCAGGGCGCCCAGGGCTGCGATGGCGATGAGGATGACGATGACCGTCACCACCCCCGTGGTGGGGCTGTGGTCCATGGACATGGCGAGCGGCTGCAAAGGCGCCTCGGCCCTCCTGGCTGGCAGCTGCTCCCTCGCCAGAGGAAGGGGGGGCTCAGCGCCTGCAGAGGCAGAGACTGGTGAGGCCAGGAAGGCACGCAGGGGCCCCTCAAGGACAGACCCGCCCCCCGAGGAGCCTGGCTTGCTTCAGCTTCGGCCTTCCCTGAGCCTCCGGCCAGCTTTGCCAAGGCCCGCGGACAGCGGGGGCAGGGCGGCTGCCCAAGCGAGAAGCCTTACCCGGCGCCAGGCAGGGTTAGGGCCCGAAGGCCCAGGCTCCTTCCGCCACAGGCTCAGCCTCCTCCCCCGGCCGGCTCGGAGAAGCCGGGAAATCGACTCAGGTCTCCCGGCGGCTGAGCGGGCATTTCCCGGAGAGGGAAGCCCCCGGGGGCTCCAACGGCCCCACCCCCAATGCAGCCCCCCCGAAGACGGCCCGCCCCCTCCCAGGCTGCCCTCCCCCTCGAAGGGGGGCAGAAAGGCGGGGGGCGGGGCAAGACGCGGAAAACTCCAGCGGGCCCGGGAAGGCGGGGTGGCGGACGCCTCGGTCTCCGGCGGAGGTCCCCCGCAGGCCCGGGCAACCCCCCCCCCAGCCTGGCTCGGCCGCCCCCCGAGCCCGGGAGCAGCTGCGCCGGCCCGACCGATCCGAGTGCGTCACAGCGCTCCGGAGCAAACGCGCGCGCTCGCCGCAGCCGAACAAAGGAGCCCGCGGCGCGCCCGCTCGCCCGGCTGCCAGGCGAAGCGGCGACCGGCCGCGGCCGGAACAGAGGGTCCGGCCCGGGCTCCGCCGGCGCCCCGGGAGTGCGCAGCCGACAGGCGGGCTCGGCGCAGCAGCCGCGCTTTGTTCGCCCAGCGCGGGGACGGTACGGCCGCCCCCCGTCCGCCCTTCCCGCCTGGGCGGGTCGGCCCCGCGGCTCACCAGGGAGGGCGCGCTTCCGCCCGGGGAGGCGTCGAGCTGGAGCCGCCGTCCGCCGCTCTCCTCCTCCTGGCCCGGCCCCTCGCGCGTCGCGGACGCCGCGCAGCCACCATGCCGGAACCGCGGAGAGGCCGCACTGCCGTCCGCCGCCGCCTTATGAGCAGCGTCGGTGGCCAATGGGCGCGGGCGCCGGAGCCCGCTTGGCAACAGCTGACGGCGGGGGCGGGGCGGGGGGCGGCGCTGCGGGCGGGGGGCGTCCCGGGACGGAGCCGCCGCTCTCCTTCCCCCGTGTCCGTCCGGCCGGCGAGACTCCGGCCCGCGGCTCTGCGCCCGGCCGCTCTCCGGCTCCGGCGGCTCCCTCGGCCCGGTCGCCCCGCCTCTGCCGAAGACGGCGACGGCTTGCGGCGTCCTGCCGGGCGGGCTGCGGCCCGGCCCCGAGGGAGTAGCCGAGCACGGCCCCGCCGCGAGGGCTAAGTGTGGGGTGCGATGCGGGTCCTTGCAGCCACCTCGAGCGCACGGCTGTGGCTTTGGCGCTTCGAGGCTTCTCCGGTGCTTCTTCCTTCGGTGGATCCTTTCTGTGGATCTCAGCCGAGGCAAACCCAAAGGTCGAGAGAGACCATAAAGAACTCACCAACCTCACATGTATTTAGCTAGAGATGATCAAGGCATCTTCTAGAGCATATTTATTAGCGGCTTGTTTTTGTAAGGGAGAGAACTGTTCACTGGTCCCTGCTTGACTTAGAATGTTAACGTTGACAGTTTCTCTTTAGTGCTTTAACATAGCTAATTTTGAACAGGAACTGTATTTTAATTTCTCTGCCTTGTGACCAAGAGAGATTTGACTGCTTTTAGCAGCTTTATATTTAGAAAATTCCTGATGAACGTGGAAAGAGATTTTCTCATCTCACAAGTTTTAGAAGAATATTCTTAATCGGCCAGTACTGACCCTTATTTGTCTCAGCCCCTCTCTGATTTACTGGGCACCCCAAATGTATCAGGGCTGCCATTGTCGACTCAACAGAGCGAGTCAGTGATTAGATTTTCATCCCCGTCTGCTTTCCCAAAACAGATTTGAGCAGGTTTACTGCCCAACTGAAGAGGAACTAAAGAGCCTCTTGATGCGGGTGAAGAAGGAGAGTGCAAAAGTTGGCCTGAAACTCAACATTAAGAAAACCAAAATCATGGCATCCGGCCCTCTCAGTTCCTGGCAAATAGATGGGGAAGAAATGGAGGTAGTGACAGATTTTATTTTTCTGGGCTCCAAGATCACCTCAGATGGGGACTGCAGCCAAGAAATTAAAAGACGCTTGCTCCTGGGGAGGAAAGCTATGGCAAATCTAGACAGCATTCTAAAAAGCAGAGACATCACCCTGCCAACAAAAGTGCGTATAGTCCAGGCCATGGTTTTCCCAGTTGCAATGTATGGCTGTGAAAGTTGGACCATAAGAAAGGCTGAGCGCCAAAGAATTGAGGCCTTTGAACTATGGTGCTGGAGAAGACTCCTGCGAGTCCCTTGTACTGCAAGGCGTTCAAACCGGTCAGTCCTAGAAGAGATCAACCCCGACTGCTCTTTAGAAGGCCATATCCTGAAGTTGAAACTCAAGTACTTTGGCCACCTAATGAGAAGGAAGGACTCACTGGAGAAGGGCCTAATGCTGGGAAAGATTGAGGGCAATAGAAGAAGGGACGACAGAGAATGAGATGGCTGGATGGAGTCACTGAAGCAGTAGGTGTGAACTTAAATGGACTCCAGAAGATGGTAGAGGACAGGAAGACCTGGAGGAACGTTGTCCATGGGGTCGCGATGGGTCAGACATGACTTTGCGGTTAACAACAACAACAACTGCCCAAGCTTAGGAAGTCACAAGAAGGAAGTGTCTGCCCAGAATTCAACCCCAGGAATTGTACCCCCTTTGGAAGTTAGTCTAAAGGTTCAAATCCTGGGTCTCCTCTACCCCCTTTTGGAGTGGACAGCTGACTCCCACCTTGCAGACTCTGCCACCTTCTCCAGGCTCAAAGCATTTCCACTCTTTATAGCAATTGCCAGAACTCCGGTCAATGTCTGCAAAAGGGGGTAGTGGGGGGGGGGCTCAGGCCTTGGATGCCTCTGACAAGGCCGCAAGAGAGAACATCGAAGTGCCAATTCCCTTGCCCAGGGAGAGCCCTCTCTGGAGTGGGAGGGTGACTTGGTGCTCTCCTTGGTCCTTATCCCCGGAAAGAAGAGGGCAAGGAGGGGAGTCAGCTTCTGCTTTGGGAAGGAAGGGGAGACATCTTGGGTTTTGCTTCAACAGGATACCTCATCCATATTTCTTGTTTCTAGGAAACAGAGAGCAGAGTCTCGGCTGACTGATTGTTCTCCCTGCTTCCTTCGAATAAGGACTGTAGGTGGTCATTCTAAAACTGGTCAAGCAAACTTAGTGCTTAAGCCAGCAGCCTCTAAATCCAGAAAGATGTTATTGCAAACTCTACACTGATGGAACTGCCATTATGTAATCTCGGTTGTGCCCTTGGCGGAATTGTTTGTTAATAAAAGTGGCCTTTTGCCCAGGGAAGCCGTGCTCGGTAGCTTCCCTTCCATATATGTATGTACCTTACATATATGTACGTCCATTAAGGCCTCTTGATGCTGTTTTGAAGGAACATGCAGCTTGTACCACAGCTCTGCTCCCCACGGGAAAAGGGGCCATTGCTGCTCGCCCACCTTTTACACTGGCAAGTTCCAGGAGGAGCACTTTGCCCTGCTTGCACGCTCAGAGCTTCTGCCAACCCATCTAAGAAAGAGATCTGCACGAGACTCCCCAGTGGCCCTCCATTTTGAGACTCATTGCCTGGAGGGCCGCCTTTGGGGTGCCCAATCAAAGTCTGTGGGGTTTTTCCCAACGTCTCCTCAATCTTTCTTAAAGGATTGCCTTATTTGCTTCCACAGGAAGACTTTTTAAAAATGCTTTTCTGTTAACGCTGGATTGTATTGTATTGTTATACTACCCTATTTTTGCGTGTACTGCTACTATGGAAGAAGTGTGGCATATTATTTAAAACAAATAAAAAATAAAGATTAAAACTGCACGTCTCCACTCTCAGCAGAGAACACCAGGCAGCCATGGAGAGAAAGGGAGTCATGCAAAATCTGGTTTTGCACATTACGGCCTCACACAAATGATGAACTTGGACACACTTGCTCACATAGACACAGACCTCACTGGAGACGCTTCCTGGCCTCTTTGCTTTTTCACATAATGGAAGCTTAAATTATTTATCTTTTCTCTCCAGCAGAACAGGCTGGGAAGAATTCCCTCTCTGCATCCAACTTCTTGGCACAGCTGGGAAGGCAACGTGACTCGGGGGGGGGGAGTCTTCCTTTGGGAGGGGAGGCAAGAAAGCTGCTCCTGGCCCCAAAGGGCTGGGGCTTCATGGCCGTTTGAGTGAGAGAGCCCTCAACATCTTCCCTGTGATTTCATGTGCAGGAAACTGCAGGCAGAGTATTTTTAGAGATGGCCGACATGTCACGATGCTCACAAGGAGACCAAAGATATTTTACAGCAAGAAGACTCCACAGGTTCTTGGCAAATATATGCTCTTTAGCAAACAGGTAGAGAGTATCAGAAGCCAAGGAAGTCAATTTCACTGACTGAAGTGAATTTCAAGCACTCCGAGGGAAGATCTGGGAATAAAAGTACCACTTCTGCCATGCTTTTGATCAAGCTCCTGCCAAGTGTTTACCTGAGGGCTTCTGTCAGCTGGGGGCAGCTCTCCTGGACTAATCCCGGAAAGCTGAACTGGGCTGACCCCCCATGGTCCTTGAGTGGCAGAGCTCAGCGCTTGGCCTGGGGGGGGCTATCCTCTCGCCCCATGTGCGTTTCTGCAGCATCATTAGGGAAGCACTCCCTGACTCAGACTGGAGGCCTCAGCATCGCCGCTTTCTACTGGTCAGGATGGGAAAGGACTGAGTGGCAACTTCAGAGACCCAGAAGGAGCACAGATGGATTGATCTGCTACTCCAAAAGATGATGGGTGTCCTGGAAGAAGGGCCCAGTTGGCTTTTAAGGCAGGTTGGGAAAGGAAGCGCCCCTTCAGCCCACCTCGTAGCAGCTCTTCCAGCCTGTGCTGCAGAAGCAAAGGCAATCTGGCTGCCATCTGCACTAGAGTTAAGCAAAGGCAGTGGCAGAAGGGCCATGTCTTTGTGCTCAATGGAAGATGGACTAAATGTTCTTCAGATGTCCCACCGAGCACCAAGCCAGTTCCTTGTTTCCAGTTTCAGAGAGGAGGGGCTTGAGGCTTTGAGTGGTTGAGGAGGCTGCTTGGCTCCCGCCCCTTTGACCTGCAGGATGTTCTGGGCCATCTGCTGGTCTGCAGGCTTCTTTCTCCTGCCAGCCCATCACCACAGACCCCTCCCCATTCTTCTCAGTTTCTCTGGGAGCACAATCTGCAGAAGGGGAGGTGGGCATGACCCACACTCACCTTTCCCAGCCTTCTTCCAAGAGGGAGCCTGTATAACAGCTTGTGATGGTGGGGGGGCAGGGTTGGCTCCAGGATCCTAGCTCCAGCTAGGAAAAAATAGGTCAGTTTTCAAGAAAGGAAGAAGGAATGCAGCAGCTTTAATTAGCAGGATAATCTTTTTATGGAATTCTGAGCTCAGCAAAGCAGAGGGGGTGAGAGAAGGGGGGGGAGTATAAATGGAAGGACTGTGTGAGGAACAAAATGGGGGTGGGGAAATGAAGGCAGGGGAATGCAGGCGGCAAGGAGCCCTTAATTGTGGGGCACCATCTGGCTTGCCCCATTTTAAGCCACACAATTACATTGAGATGCTCTCACTCCTTCGTCTCCCCCCCTATAGGTTGACATGTTCCAGGAGACACAGCGCATTCAGAAATCTGCTGGTCCTCAGGAGGCTGCAGGTCCCTTGCATGGCTGCCCTCTGTGCAATCCTGCCCACGAAGAGACCCTCCCCATGTTTGAGCCTCGGTTGTTGATGGCTGTCAAAGCAGAGAGGCCCACCGTGTGTCTCCGACACATCTCCGGGAGGAACCAAAGGAAGCCAGCAACCCCCCCCAGACGGCCTATTCAGGTCAGGCCAGGTCAAAACAGGTGAGCACATCTGCGTGTATCCCAAGTGAAGGAGGAGGTGTCTGGCTCAGAAACGCACCCTAAAGCAACGGCTCCACTCCTGGCCCCTTGACCGTATCAGGGTCTGGCACACTCTGGCACCAAAACTCCCTTTCCTCTAGCAACGGGAGGCCAAGGCTGCTGAGCTTTGATGGATCACCACCGTGAGCATGTGGCCATGGGTGAAGTGGCCTGGGAGCCTTCCTGAGCAAAGGCTGCGGGCAAAGCCTTGATTGGGACAGGTTGGAGATCCTCCTGTCCCTCCAAGGGATCAGGCCAGGGTCAGAAATAAGCGGGGCTTCCACCCTGCCGGCATCTCCTTCGGCCAAGCCCTGGTTTAAGGAGTTACGGTTTACCCGGTATCTCACAATGGGGTGGGGGGGTAACACGGCCGCGAAGGGCAGGGGGGCCAGAATGGCGGACCCCAACAACCGCTGCTCTGCCCCTCCCTCTTGGCAGCGCAGCCCGGTTCCCAAACGGGCGCCCTGGGCGGGCTGCCGGGGCGGCGGAGGACCCGTCGGAGCCGGTCAGGGCTTCGGGAACGCTTGGAAAAGCGCCGCGCGGGTCAGGAGGGCTCCGCGCCTCGGCGGTCCGGCAAAGCGCCGCTGCGGGCCCTTTCTCTTCTTCCTGCCCGGGACGGCGGCCCGCCAAGCCTGCCCTGCGCCCTCGGCCGGGGCGGGCCTTGGAGGGCGGGTGGGGCGCTGGAAGCGAAGCGGAAGAGCCCGACGGCGAGCAGGTGAAGCGTGCCAGGCGACCGGCAGGTAAGGCGGCTCTCTCGCTCGCTCGCCCTCTTCGGGGAGCGGCGGGGAGGGTCCCGGGAGCCCCGCGGCGGCGGGAGGCGGTGCCGCGTCTTTCCCGAAGCGCGGGCGCTGCTCGTCCTCGACGGCTTTCCTCGGGCCGACCTTTGCCTGCCGCCGTGTCCGAGCCCCACCGCGGTCGGGGTGCAGCCTCCGCCGCAGCGCCCCGAAGCAGCCCCGCGCGGAAGGGCGGCGGCCGCCAGGGCCGGGGCGGAGCGGGGACGGCGGGCTGCTTCTGCGGGGCTCCCGGCTCTCCTTTTCGGGTGGCCGGTGACCAGTCGGGGGGCGCCGCGGCGCTTCGTCTCCTCCTGCAGGGGGAGGGGAGGTCCGTCCGCTCCCCCCGCCCGGTTCCCTGCTTAGGAGCCCAAGCGGGGGCCCCTCGGAGAACGGGGCGGACGGGGCTGCAGGGCTGGGGCGCCTGGCCGGGGACCTGCCCGCCCACCTGCTCCGCTGGGCCCCTTGATGGGGCTGGCTGAGGCCGCCGCTCCGGCTCCAGGAAACAAATTGTATTTTTGCCCTGCGGAAACCACCCGGATCTTGCCTGGGTGCAGCGCGAACAAACCCTTCGGCCTCGTCCCTCCCCCGAGTTACACGCGAGTCAGCGCTCGCCACTTCCGGCTCTAAGCCTGGGCAAAAGTCGGGCGCTGCTCAAGTGGAGAATTGGGGCTGATAGTTGGGGGGGGGAGGCTTTAAAACTTGCTTTAGCCGAACTTCCTGCTAAAACCAAAGAGCTGAAACATTTTGTGTAAAAATCAATTCAAGAAAACTCATTACAAACCATTACAGCCGTAAAAAACGATCTTGGCATGGGCTGCGTTTGGGTCTAAATAAAAAATGTACCGTATAGAATAGATGATGGGAGTTCTAGTCCAACTCATTTGGAAGGTGCTTTTTGGAGGATGGCTGAAGTAAAAAGACACACAGAACCCCTAAAAGTCAGTGGTAATAGAGGGTCGTGTTCCCCCAACTGGCCCAGAACTCAGTGCAACACACATCACCCGGAATGGGGGGCTGGTTTGCAAATGAGGCCGACTGACCACCTCCTTCCACCCAGGGAGCCTGTGCTTGGCCCAGCTGTGACCCCCCAGGGGTCTTTCCATGCTTGGGCCTTGCGCATTTGGGGGCTGAGTGATGAGGATAATGGAGGATCAATGCGGCACGAGAGAGGGCAGGGGGCTATAGTACGTGGGTGGTGCAGATTGAAGGCCACATTAAATGTTCCAGGAGCTTGGTTAGAATCACAGAGTGCAAGGACTGAAGGATATTAGAGATCATCTAGTCCAGCCCTCCCCCCCCCGCCCGCCCATAAGGAGACAAGAAAAAGACCTTTTCACACTTTCAGTTGGACCATCAGTTGGGAGGTCTGACCTCCGTCCCACATATCCTGAGCTTTCCTTTTGAAGCAGAGTTTCTTGTGAACCAGCCTTGGGTTTCCTGGAGAGGCTGGGCCCTGAAACTTGCCACTCACTCCCTTCTGCTGGGCTTGTTTTATTTATTTATTTAGTCATCACGTTTATGTAGCTGCCTGTCTCACCAGGAGTGACTCTGTTGGCAGAGTTTCATTATCACCCCAGCATCCTGAAAATTGCTGCACAGGTGAGACTCATTGGCACAATCACAGGCCCATTCTGCCAGGTATGGGTTATGGTATCTCCCTGGTAAAGAAGCCAACAAGCCAAAGGCAGTTTCTCATTTAGTGGGTTCCTGTCCTCCCTTTCCAGGCTGCATTCCTACAGCGCGCGCGCGCGCGCGCACACACACACACACACACACACACACACACACATGCCAGTCCTTGCACTCTGTTAGGGGCAGTTGGGATAAGCTGGGATGGGACAGGTGGTCATGGTGGGGAACCGTTACTCACACGGGAGGTGAAGGTGTTCACACTGCAGGGGAGCGTTGTGACCCAAGGCAGATGAGCTGCTTTGCTCACAGGCAGTCAAAGGGGCTGCCCCCTCTGAGGCTGGCATAGCTGTGGCTCCTGCTGACCTCACAAAGGCTGGCTGTGCCCCTCCCCCAGCTTCTCAGGGGACAGGGTGTCTCCAGAGCCACTCTGGGACCTCAGCAGGTGGGTGTGTTGTCGCTCCCCCTTGAAGAATTCTGTCGGCAACTGGCTTGGCTGTGATGGAAGTGCCATCCGCTTCCTCCTGGGTCCTGGGTGGGTGGTGGGGAGCTGCTCCCCTTGCAAAGAGTGGGACCCCTTCCCTTCCCTCCCTCCCTGCAACTTCCTTCTCTCTGCCAGGCCTCTTTGCTGGGAGGGGGAGAGGCTTTATGTCCCCCAGAAGAGAAAGAGGTGTGGGGGGGGCACAAGAGGCCATGGCTGCAGGCAACTGCACTGTCAGTGGGAGCAGGGAGGGGCAGTGGCTTTCCTTTCTTCATTTGTGGAAGTGTTGAAAATTAGGCTGAAAGTTGGGCAACCAGAAACATTGCGGAATAGTAGCCTGGGGAGAGGCAGTTCCCGGCTTCGGGGAAGGGGGGGGCATGGTAGTGAGTTCACAGCTGTAGGGAGGTGGAGCTTGAAGCCCTGCCGTTTCCTTGGCAGTGTGACGGAAGTAATAAAAAGAGGCAGTCAGAAAACAGCTTTTCCTAAGGAGCCCTGGAAAGCAGAGAGGCTGGGGCTGCCGGGCCAAAGGTCCGGTTTGGTGGGTCTTGACCATTTGTCCCTCTGCCCCTGCTGGTTCTCTGACACCTGCGAAGCCCTTGAAGCCCTGCACGAGGAGGGCAGTCCAGGTCAGTCACCAAGAGGAAGGCAGTGCAGTTTGGGGGGTTGGCCCTTTCCGAGAGCAGGCTGCTTGGACCAGGCATATTTGCACACTTACGAAGTTGTGCAAACTCTTCGCAAACTCCTCCTGGAGCCACTTCCAGGGCTGGTGGGGTCTGAGCCCACAAGGACATTGCCCTGGGGTTGCCCCCATCCTGCCAGGGGAGGAAGCCAAGCAAGGAGACTCCTGTTACACCCCCTCCCCATTTCTAGCATTTGGGTTTTGTTATGGCTGTTCAGACCAAATGAGGTTTTGAAAAGTTTGAGACCAAGATGGTGTGTTTGTGTGTGTCTGTTTGTGTGTGTGTATCTTTCTCGAAGCTCTTTCTCTCTCTTCTGAATCATTAGAAAAAACCCCAAGGAGCACTTTGTTCCTAGTGGGGACCCTGGTCTGAGTAACAAGCACCTGGTGACCCCACCTGGTTTCACCAGCCTTCTCCTTGGGTGGAGCAAGGAGATCTCGGGTTAAGGGCCCACTCTGGGTGGCAGCATTCTTGGCACAAGAGTGCCAGCCCTTTGAGGTAGGCCAGGCTAAGAAACTGGCAGGGCAGAGATTCCAGGAAAGCCAACTGATTGTTGTAGGTTGTGAAAACAGACTCTTAAAGCCTGTCCCAATTCCCTGCTCTCTCCCATCTGGTACTAAACCAGCTCAAGATGGAGTTACCTTGAGTGTCTTTCTCACACACACCCCTCCCTGCATCTCTTGGCTGTGTAATCGTAACAGCTGATTCATAGCCTGCCCAAGGACCTGATCTGTAAGTATTGTTCGGGGAGGGGGAGGAGTTTAATGTTTTCTGGGCAAGCAGGCAAAGAGTCCCAGAGAGGAAGTGGGCTAGAGGGAGATGTCCAAGAGTGGAGCTCCTCCGGGCAACTGCCAGCGCTGTTGGTCCAGGAGCAGCTGCCAGCTCCTCTTCCCCTCCTCCTGGCAGGGCTGCTTCTCCAAGGGGCTGGCCAAGCCCCTCAGCTTCCTTTTGGCCTCTCTCCTAGAAACATGGCTGCTCCTTCCTCAGCTCTTCCACCATCTTACGAAGAATCAACCAGCGCCAGTAATCCAGCTCCGTATCCCTACCCTCCTGCAGGGGGAATTCCTGTGAAGGGGGCACCGGCCCCTTGCCCAGTCCAGGCCCATCCTCCATTCCCACCCCAGTCCTATGGCATGCAACCCCAGCCGGTTCGAGCGGTACCTCCAGGTGAGTCCCAGCGTGGGGTGGGGAGGGATCCGGCTGCAGCTGGGCTAGTCCTGGGAGCTGCTCTTGGGGAATCTGTGATGGGCACCTCGGAACCTCCGGCCTCTCCCTCTCTCGCCAGTGCCCGTCCACACCGTTTACATCCCGGGCCCGCTGGTCTTTCTTGAGCACCCCATGCAGATCCACTGTCCTGCCTGCAACCAGATGATTGTGACCCGGATCTCGTACCAGCCTGGAGCTCTGGCCTGGCTCTCCTGTGGGGGCCTCGCCCTGGTGGGGTAAGTTGGTCCCAGCCTGCCCAGGAGCAGCAGGGCAGCTTCTCCTCCCTTGCGCAGCTGGAATGAACCGGCCGTGCTCTGCTTGCGCCCACTGCAGCTCTGCCTTCTCTCGCAGGTGCTGGCTGGGCTGCTGCCTGATCCCCTTCTGCGTGGATGCCATGCAGGACGTCCAGCACTTCTGCCCCTGCTGCAATGCCTTCCTGGGTGTCCACAAGCGCCTCTGAGCGGATCTGGACCCCAATGCCAGGAAGTGTAAGGTCCCCTTTTGTACACCTTCGCTCAAGTCCTCCTGGGCCAGGCCTTGCGGGGCCCGTCCAGTGCCTCAAGACTTGCCCTTTGGAACAGTGCAGACCACCTCTGGAGTCTCTCTCCCAAACTTCGGCTTGTCGTGACCTGCGCCGCTGCCTGAGGGAAGAGCGGATCCCGGCTTCTTGCAAAGGAGCGAAAGAACCACACGAAGGCTGCTGCTCCTGCTGCCCCTCAGTGCCAGGCCTCCTCTGCAGGGGGAGTTTGCGGCACAACCTACGAAGACTGAGGGGAGGCAACTTTCAGTATTTGACCCAAGCTCTGCAGGGCTCCAGCCGGCTCCCATCTTTTCCATCGTGGCCCATGCCCGGTCACAAGAAGCGCCTGCTGTGATGCGGAGCAAGATGTTTCCCCAATCTGAGGGTTCCCAGTTTGGGGAGCCGTGGACCCTCCAGCCTCACCCCTCTCCCCCAGCTGTCAACGGGGGAAGAGAGGCCCCGTGCCTTGAAAAGCAGAGCAGGTGCTGCTGGCACAGGGCACCCCGGCCGAGGTTCAGCTGTGCACTTGGGCGTTTAAGGAGCTTCCTGCCCCCAGGAAGAAGGGACTTTTGTCCTGCGGATTGGGGTGGAACAGGGGCCAGAGTAGCTGGAGAGGGAGGTGAATCTCTAGAGTCCTTTAAAGTTGTTGGCTCTGCAAGTCCAACTTTATTCTGATTTGCTTCCGAACTTAATTCTGACTTTTTCAGCTTTTGAAATAAAACTCTCTTGCAAAAAGAAAGAGCTGGAGGCGATCCTAGTTTTTCCAAAGGGAGAGATCCGGCCCAGCCCTCCTTGCTGTGGGAAAAATGCCAGGGTAGCCAGCCACCAGGAAGGGCAGGGGTCCCTGCCGGGAGCCTGGCCCAGCGGTCGGGGCATCTGTGGGGCCAGGGCCCTTCAGGGAGGCAGGGCTGGCGGAGGAACTGGGGCCAGGCCCAGCCTTCCTCAACAGCCACAGAGACGCCCTGGATCGGGGAGTCTGCAGAAAAGCAGGGCTGGGCTGATCTGCGTTGGGGAAAAGGTGGTCCATCCTGGCAACCTGCTGGCCTTGTGGGGAACGCAGGCCAGGCCCATGGCCTTCCCTTGGGGCCAGCCAACGCGGCCTCCAATGCGCTTGGCCTTCCTTGGGTGACAGCAAGGCCAACTGCGGTGGCAACCGCACTTCATTGTCTTTATCCGGCCATCGAAAGGGGCACTGCCAAGACTGAGGCTGCAACCTCCAGCATCCAGAGCCCACGCAACAGGTGTTATGGAAATTGTGATCCAAGCCACAATTGGCAACACAAAGCCCATCTCCCTTCCTCTCTCGGCTTGAAGTGAATGAGTGACTTAACAGAGGAAGGGCTTCCTTGCTTCGCAGGCCTAGAGAGTTGTGGTTGTTGAAACTTTAAAGCATTTTCCAGCTGGGTGGGCCTCCAGTTCTGGTGCACAACTTTGCCTGCAAACAAACTGCTGGAAATGTCCCCCCCCCCCCCGAGACCTCCAACCTGCTTGAGAAGGAACAGAAAGGACCGTTCTCTAACTAAAAACAATTTAGCACAAAAGTACCAAAGAAAGTTTCAGTCTGCTCAACTTTAGAGAAATTTATTTACAAAAATTAAATAATTATCTTCTATGAAAAAAGATGTCTGGGGTGTTTTCCCTTAAAAAAAGGTCCACATTATTCAAATGGATGGTTCTGAACTCCCAAGCTGGCGGAGGGCTTTCCTTCACTTAAAATGTGACAAGGCAACACCACGAGAGATGGGGCTGAACCAGCCCTACGGAGGAAATAACTATTTTGCTTTTTTGCATTATAACAGTATCTAATCTGCTGCAACTCTTGAATGAAGCTGTTAAAAAACTGAAAGTCTTTTTCTGAATCTCCCACAGCTTCTCTGATCCTTTCTCCCATCACCAGAAGAAAAGAAAGTACAGATTTTTTTGGTGCAGATGGTAAATCCAGCAAGATGCTCCTTCAAATCAGGGGAGCCCCTTCTGCGCTCCAGGCAGCCATGCCCCTCCCCTTTGAACGAGGAGGAGGAGGAAGAGGAAGCAGCTGCTTTACTGTCCAGGTGCCAGCTCTTTGTGCAAAATGGGACCGACATCTGCGGGTCCTGGCAGAAGTTGCCAGCCTGCCTGTGTTTTTCCCTGGCCGTGTGTGTGTGTGTGTGTGTGTGTGTGTGTGTAGAAGGCTGGCTTCACCTGGTCAAACCAAGCCGGCATCTTTGGCCATGTCGCAGAAGAGGCCTCTGCTCTCGATGAGGTCAGCAGGAGCTCCGCATTCCACGATTCTGCCTTTCTCAAGGACGATCACCCTAAAAGGACAACAGCTCCGTCCATCGCCCTGATGCTGGTCTTCCTTTCCCTCCACAAGGGCCACCCCGGGCCACCCCTTGGAGCCTTACCGTGTGTAGTCCATGATGGTGTTCAAGCGATGTGCGATTGTCAGGACTGTGCAACCCTCAAACTGCGTCCGTATCGTCGACTGGATCAGGCTGTCCGTCTCAAGATCTACTGCTGCGGTGGCTTCATCCAAAACCAAGATTTTGGATTTGCGCAGCAGGGCCCGAGCGAGGCACACCAGCTGCCGCTGACCCACGCTGGGAGACAGAGAAGGCCACGTTAGATGCCAAAGGACCCACGTGCCGGGTGCTTCGCCCTTTTAAACACAACAGGGGTTTTGTAAACAGAGGCTGAGCACATCCTTGTGCCTCTCTCCCAGTCACAGATCGAGATAAGGTGCTGTGTGTGTGTGTGTGTGTGTGTGTTCAGAAAATGGTTTCTGTTTATCTCAAAAGTGGCTTTTCACAGCTGCTCCTAAAAGGGTGGGGATGTTTGCCTGGGTCTGCTGCACTCAGATCATTTCAGCTGCAAGGCACAGCTCAAGTTGGCATTTTCCGGGCAATAGCAAAAATTGCCCCAGATTACAGCTCATGTCAGAAAACAATTTCCTTGAATACTTAAGACATCCACTGCATCCTCCTTTTGCAAAGAGGCTGCAGCCAGAAATGGGCAACTCCACTTCTCTCTGTCCCCCTCTTTGCAATTAAACTTAAGAATGGGACCAGAAAAAAACAGGAAAAGATCCACGGGAAAAAAGGAGCATCAAACAAAAAAGAAAACTAAATATCTTAAGAAATAAGTAAAGCATTCTCTGTTATCCTACCAGAAGTATTAAATTGGTACAATATATAAAGGTTATCTTATATCTATTTGGTGAAGAGAACACAACTATCTCTAATGACTCTGAGTCAGCCTGTCCTTGAGTTGAAACTCAAGTGGGTGGAGGACTGCGCACCTTCCCTCCCCTCAGGAAAGAGACTTAACCAGGTAAACACCAGGCACTGTTTTCCTCCTGGCGCTGTGTTAAGACAAGGCTGCTTCGAAAGGTTAAACTTCTCACAAACAGGCAAGGCCACCTGCTTCTTCCTAGGTTCTTAAACAGCCAGAATTTCACCTGATTCTTCAGCCTGTGAATCAGTCCTGGATGGAGGGCTGGGCACACAGCCAGAGACCAGCCAAAACGAGCAACGCAAGCAGATCCTTTCTTGGCACTGCCAGTTTAACAAACAGTTGGCAGAACCAGAGTTTAGAGGCAAACAAACTTTGCAGAGCTCAGCACCACGCTCTTAAACACGTGCCTAACACGCACACGTCCTTGTGCGTGGTAAAAGCTCTGGGGGCTTTGAAGCCTTGTTGCTCTGTATACCTGAGGTTTTCTCCACCTTCTGAACACTCGTGGAGGAGCTTATCAGGAAGGGAGGAGACGAAGGCTTTCAGGTGAGCAAGCTCCAACGACATCCAGACGTCGTCATCGGAATACTGGTCAAAAGGGTCAAGATTCATGCGCAAGGAGCCAGAGAACAGGATGGGATCCTAGGTAGGCGAGAAAGGACAGCAGAGTTTTGCAGCAGCAGAGAACCCTCCCACTCCAGGAGAGGTTCTGGAGGACATCATGGAGCACAGAAAAGTGTTCCAGGGGACATCGCTCCTTCAAAGCTCCTCAGCTGTTTCCTGGTGCAGTTCCTCCCCCCTTTCTAAAATTGCCCCTTGGGTGGGAAGCTTAAAGTCTTCAAAGTGGTCCACTAAGGGGAAGCTGGACTTTGCATTTTCCACCGGCTCAAATCGAGTCTTTGCTTGCATGCATTCACTGCTCCCAAGTGACTCCATTAAATGGGACTCCAATTTGGGGAGGGGGGGAAGGGACCTCGCAGAGAAGCTCAGGCCCCATGGCAGCAACTCCCAACCTGGGGGATGATGGTGATCTTGAAGCGAAGGTCGTGGAGTCCGATTTTGGCAATGTTAACCCCGTCAATGAGGATCTCTCCTTCTGCTGCCTCTTTGATCCGAAACAAGCCGAGCACCAGGGAGGACTTCCCGGCCCCGGTCCTTCCGACGATGCCCACCTGTCGAGGGCAGAGAGCAGAGTCAGAACGGCTGCAGCAGAAGCAGCTACAAAGGCTGGAGCTGAGCCAGAAACGGGGTCCAGACTTCCCTCTGGGGCCAGCCCTTCCAAGATGAACTAAGCACATTTTTGGGAATCGGAGGATGTGTGGGCAGCACAGGATGGACCATCCCAACCCCTGCAGGCAGAGACGATTCTCCTTATGGATCTTGAGGGGGTCTCACTACATAGGATCCCCTCCAGGGGGGGGCATGGTATCTATGCTGCTTCCCACTGGTCCAGGTGAGCGCAGAAGGAGCTTCTGCCTTCACCAGCTTCTCTGCTTCCCCCTCCCCCCATGTGCCAGGAGGCGCCTTCTCTCCCACCCTCCATACTGCAGAGACGCAGCTGCCTGGGACTCACTTTCTCCCCAGCGTGTACCACGATGGAGACGTCCCGCAGCACGGGGTCCATGTCACTCCGGTAGCGAAGGCTGTAGCCCCGGAACTCCACCCGCCCCTCCTGAGGCCAGCCAGGCCGGGCAGCAGCTCGCTCAGAGGTCCACTCGGCCTGAAAGAGGGAGGAATCAGGCTCTCATGCGCCCCAGCCATTCTGCGGTCTGGGGGCTTTCCCAAGACCATGCACTGGCTCAAACCACGGGCCCAGTCCCCCTGCCCAACACTTGGCCTCTCACCACCCACTGGATATTTTCCTGGAGGATGCAAATGAAATGGCAGGTGATTCTCAGCAAATGGACCAAGGCAGACAGTGCTGCCTCTCCTGGCCACCAGAGGGCGCTGCTGCTCTGCAAGTTGCGTGTTGGGGGCCGTGGCCCAAGCTCATGCTGAGTGACAAAGCCACAGGAGTCTGAGGTTTTATTTTGAGAGACTCTGAAGGAGAGGATTCCGCCAACTGCAGATGGTTCCTAAGCATCAGCCAAATGGAACCTTCCTGTTTAAGGGCAGTCTATCTCAAGGAACCATCTGCCAGGAAGTGAGAACGGGAAAGGGTGCAGGTCTTTCTTACTTGTGGACTGCAGAGTGAGTGGGGGGCACAGACTCTGTTCCTGAACTGGCCTAAGACTGAGGGGGCCGTGGACCTCCCATCTGGCCTTCAGGTTGGCTGGACTTGCAATGATGGAAGTGGAAGTCCAGCCAATTGGAAGGCCAGTAAATTAGAGGTTCCTTTCAACGCTTGCCTCAGGAGGCTGACCAGCATTTGAGCAGCTGCGTGAGGCTGCATTTGCCTGCCACCCCCCCCCCCTTGCAGCTACTCCTGGGAGAATGAGGAACGCCAACACTGGTATGTCCAGGGGGCCCCTTCAGGCTTCTGTGCCCAAAGAACGCAATCCCGGCTGTGAGCAGAGGCTTGCCTCT